GGGCATTACCAGCGGCAGTCAATGTCATTTACAAAGGGAAAATGGATGGACGTGCGGATGGGAGGAAGGGGAGGGCGTCAGGGAGAGACGGCAAAGGCCGGGGGTGGGAGGATGGCTTAGTCGATACATGGGCGTATGGAGCTGTCAATGTCATTCGTAAAACGCCATAACAACCTGGATTGGTGGGTGGGTGGATAGATGGACAGGTGGATGAATGGATGGATGGATGTGACGAACGATGCATAAATCAAATTTCCACCTTTACGCTAAAAAAAAAACTCATCAATATTCCACCTTTCACACTTACAGCTCTCCCTCCCTCCCCCTATGTGCCAACTCCTCTCTCTCCTTTATCTTTCCTTCTGACTTTTTCTCTTTTCAATGCCCACTCTTCTTTATCCCACATCCGAAAAAGAAAAGGTCAACGAGAGAGAGCGAGCGAGAGAGAGAGAGAGAGAGAGAAGGGTTCGCGATTCCAAAAGCTAGAAAAGTTGGCAGTCGAGCAGACAAAGAAAGAACCCTTCTCTCTCTGCCATGGACGAGGGAGAAGAAGAGAGAAGGAGAGAGAAGGGCAAGCAAGCAAAAGTGAGAGAGAACAGGTAAGAGAACCAAAGAAACAAAGAGAGCGATTGAACTGCATGGGTGACAACGTCCAGGTTCAGAGTTCGAAAATCAACTGCAGCCTCTGTCACACGGTACTTGGACGCTTCTACGTCCTGGTACGGAGGACCCGGCCGTGACAACGTCCAGGTTCATCTTGAGAGGCGCTGCCGTGCAATTCCCCAAGGTGGGTGAAGTGATCCTCCCAAAGACAAACAGAGAGCGAGAGAGGTCCTCCATTCGCTCGCCCCCATCCTTCGGAATAATTGATCGAATACGGAAGTATGCTTCTGCGAACGGCACACAAGATGCCACCTGCCATCATCATCCATCGTAGACCTGCGAGGAGAGATGGGCATGACATAAACAGGCGACAGAAAGAAGGCCGAGGGAGACAGTGGGAGAGAGGCGGAGAGAGGGGGAAAGACGGAGAGAGAGAGAGGGAGAGAGAGGAAGGGGGAGGAGCGCGAGAGAGAGGGTGAGACAGGGAAAGAAGAACGGAGGAGAAGGAGAGAGGGTGAGAGAGAAAGGGAGGAGAAGGAGAGAGGGTGAGAGAGAAAGGGAGGAGAAGTGGAGAGGGGAAGAGGGGGAGAGGGGGAGAGGGGGAGAGAGGAGAGGAAAAAAGGAGAGGGAAGAGAGCGCAGCAGAGTACGAAAAAACAGGGAGGAGAGAGAAAACAGAAGACGAGAAGAACATGAGAAACAGGAAATTGCTGGGTGGGAAAAGAGGAAGAGTGCTGGGAGTAAAAGAGAGAAAAGAGGAGTGCTGGGGAGTAAAAGAGAAAAGAGGAAGATTGACGTTATTCAAAGCGCAAATGCAGCATCGACAGAGAGAGAAGCGAAATGTGAACATAGTCAGCATAAGTAGTCAAGATGACAAAAAGGCAGAGAGATGACTAGCGGAAGAAGAGGAAGGGCGACGCGGGAGAGGAGGGAGAACGCGCGCAGGGGAGGTAATACGGAGAGAGAGCGCACGTGGGGATGGAAAGAGGGAGGGGGCGTCGGAGGAAGGCCAGAAATGGGAAGAGAAGAGCTTCCGTATGTACAGCAACAACGAGTTTCTTCTTGAAATGGCAACTCCGATTTTGTGGGTGTGTGTGTCACAGAGAGAGAGAGAGAGAGAGAGAGAGAGAGAGAGGAAGCGAAAGCGAAACAGAGAGCAGCGAGAGAAGGGAAGGAAAGAGAAAGAGAGGGGAAGGAAAAGAAAGCCAAAGAAGGATATACATATATATATATAGAGAGAGAGAGAGAGGGGAGGGAGAGAAGAGAAGAGAAGAGAGGAAATGTATCATCTTTCCAGCGTTCAGAGACTGCACATGGTCTGCCATGACTGTATCCGGCAATCCGGTCAGATGCAATCACTATGAACCTTGATGCACTTGGCCCCCTTACCATAGTCTTATTCCTAAACCCATGTAGAGCCTCAAAAGCCTACACGAGACAAGTGAAGAAGAAGTCTACCACAGTTAGTTTTCCCTAAGCCATAGTATTTTTTTTAAGGTCAGCACTAATTCCCAAAAAAAAAAAAAAAAAAAAAAAAAAAAGGTCAGCACTAATTCCAACGACAGAAGCACATTCACTGTGAATTCCTTCGCACCGGTGTGTAGTGGTTCAAAGACTCTTTTTACCCGTCTTCACTCGAATAGAACGCCCGGTCATTATAGACGTTTTCGGAGCAATTCTCAGTCCAGATACAGCTGTAAAGACCAGGGGGGCGTTCTATTCGGCTAAAAGGACGATAGACGACACCAGTGAAGAAGACTAACAACCAGCTAGATGGCCTACCTTCTTCTACCGAATACAACGTACGGTCATTATAGCTGTATTTGAGGCATCTTTCAGTCTACATACAGCTGTAATGACTGTACGTTGTATTCGAGGGAAAGAAGGTAGCTCAATGGAGTTCGTACTCCACTGGAAGCACATGAGTTTAAAAAAATAAAATCCTGGAATTCTGAATTACCTTGCGGGGGGCCGGTCAGTTCACTCGATGACATCTCAAGGCCGTAGCCCTTCTTTTAAAAAAAAAAAAAAATGACGGAAGAATTACAGAATAACACATCAATTCGTTAAGGTCAGCACTAATCAGAAAGACACAGGCAAAGGCAAAAGCAAAAGCACCAACCGGAAGAAAAACAGGGCAAGCACAACAGTTAATTATCCTTCCCGCTGACTTTATTAACTGTTAAAGAAAAGAAGGGTGGGTG